CTCTCCAACGATGACTGATGGCAATATGGTTTATTTGAGTCCATCGTTGGTTTGGTGTAGGGGGTCGCCATGTTAGACGATGTTTTTCCTTATGCTTAAGATTTGTGTTTGCTAAAAATAAACGATTGTCTGAGCATAGTTGCAGCAGACGATCACCATTATCTGTTCGTTGTGCCGGTATACTAAAATACCCACCTAAATGCCTTTCTGTTTGGTTTAGACTACCTATCTGGGCATTAAAGTCACCTGCTACGAGTACTATGTCTGAACGTTTAGCTTTCTGTAAAATTCATCTTTCACTTCATCCGAGCTGCAGTGAGTGGGAGCGTAGGCAAAAACGACAAAAAGGCAACGACGTGTGTCCCTATCCTTCCGAGTTCTTACAGAGCCGTTTAGCCGGACGGCACATAGACGACTGTTGACGGGGATCCACTATAACAGTGCTTGTTCAGCCCTCATGCTTAGTGCTATTCCTACTCCTGCCAGTCCACGAGAGCTGGCCATCGGGTCACCAGATACACGGAGGGTGTATCTCGTTGGCTCTCCGCTTTGCCGAGGTGAGGTCAAGTGAATGACCACACTGGGATCCTGTATGCGTGTTTCGGAGACACAGCATACATCAATGGCACGAGATTCTAGGGTTCTAGCCAAGGAAGCCTGCTGACCGCGAGCGAGGTTTCAGTAGACCTGGGACAGTGTTTTGAGCACTAGAATCGTTGGCTATGGTGACACTTGAGGGGGAAGCCGAAAGAAGAAGTTTAGAGGTGAAAGTTGATGTAGGAGAAATAATAGGAATTGAAGAGGGAGGTTGATTATGAATCCAGTGGTCTTGAGTGCTGTTAGAGGTATGAGGGCGGTTATCACTTCCCGTTTGCCCACACCGTGGAATGGTACGTGAAAAGGAAATCGGATTAGAAGTGGTCTTATTGACCTGGGAGTGTGACCGCAGTGCCCAAGGGACAACTGCTTGAGGTCGGTCACACACGACCTTTTTATGGGTAATTTTTGTGTTAGCTCCGTACTTTTTGAGACCTTACCGCCGGAGACGGATATCCGTGGGATAAGGCGAGGTGTGCATTTTTATGGTCGACCTTTTCTAACCCCACCCCTCCTTGTGGGAAGGCAGCATCGCTGTCATGCTGGTTGTCTGAAGGAAACACCTTACTACTGTCACACCTCTGTACAGTCAGCAGTACGACTTCGCCCTCGAACCTTAGGTTTGTTGCTTTTAGCCTTACCGCTCATCTACCGACCTTTCTGACGTGGTAGGACCTTTAGGAACAGTTGTTCCAGTCAGTATAGCTCGGTTGCTTCATCACGATAGGCAAGCCCAACCACCACGTCAAGGTAGCAACAACGGTCGAGTCACATAAGTAGTATTTAACGGTGGCCGCTATATGAGGGGATGGGAAGGTTATTTTCGCCAGCCGAAGTCTAAAATCCCCATCCTTCTTGGCTAGTCTCATCAACTGTCGATCAAATATGTTTATGAGCTTCAAGGATGAATTTGGGATCCCGAATATCAGAGTCTGAGGAGGCAGGGTCCGCGTTTTCTGGCACACCTTGCACAATGTTATTTTTTTCTGCGGAAAAACATCGCGCAAGACTCCTTAGGAATGTTCCTAATGATATTGCGCTCAGAATACAGTATATCAGGCAGTATTCTTACGTTACCATCTGAGTCCAGTAAGTGACTAGCTAGCAGAACATCCTCTATGTCGGCAGTGTTAGTGAGCGTTACGTGAAGGAGTCCTTCCGTGTAACCATCAGAGGCTGTATTTTAGGAGGTTTGAGCTTCCTTTTCAACTCTTCGCAAAGCATTTTGTCCTACTTTTCCTGAAGACTAAGAGGAAGCTCAGAACTCTCTTTTAGTTTTATGATTATGAGAGAATCATCGCGAACCGTGATCATTTTCACAGGTTTTCGATTACGTTCAGGTTGTGGACCTTTCTACTTCGTAGTTGAAATGCGTTTCGGATTCCCGTGCTCTTTGACGATTGGTTGAACAATCTTAGAGGGAGACTGTACGGCCAAATCACCAGTTGGCTTCACTACAAAACCTGGAATGCTCTACTTTTTAGATGGTGACACTCGGTCTTTTTTAAATTTGTTGACGGGGTTCTAATCGTCTACAGAGTTTTTGGGGACCACCGTTGCATTTAGGGAGACAAGAGTTTGCTGAGAGAGTCAAATACTGTCAATGTTATGATGTTGCTGAGCTTCAGCATATCCTCACCAGTGTCGATACTGACGTTGTCGAGGTCTCTCTTCTTTTCCTCACTACGCGTCTTTGTTTACCGGTTTTAGGGCTACGTTTTTTTCAGGTTTGCTGACGTTTTTTGGTAGACCTGTCAAGAGAATGATGATGTTGCTTAGCAAATCCTCAGCATTCATGTTGCACGTGCCACACACCCACCTACGAATCGATTTACTAATTCTGTTGTAAGCAGTCACTGTGAGATCTGTGCATGTTTCGTGGGACCAACCTTTGCATTTGTTACACTGCATATCAAAGGTGAAAGCGAAGTGGCATCCGGGTCGCTTGCATGGATTCTTCATCACTATAGTGAATTGATTAACAGATTCTAGCTAACGTTTACGACTGTAAAACAAATAATAGTACACTCAGAACGGATAAAATGGGTAAAAACGAGTGGTGCAAAAGACTACGATACAATAAAACTAGCATTGATGTGAAAAACTGAAAAACCGAATAGTAAGCTGATGCGAAAATACAGTCAACTATTAACTTGGATAAAACTTAAAAAGAACGTTACCATTGGAACAGATTCTTTGGATCGAAAATGGTACTTTTGTTGCGTAACAACACAGCAAAAGTTTGAGAAATGCAAACCGCGTTAGGCCTGGACTTCTCGTTCGTAAAGCGCTCACTCTTTTGTGGAATTAGATAATCATTAAGCTGTATGGAAAATAGTCATTGTTGACCAATTGGTGTGTTTGGTGCTCGCCGTGAAACTGAAACAAAATGGTACATTGTGGGTCTGCGCAGACTTTTCGACGGGATTAAATGCTGCTCTAGAACAACGTCCTAACGTTTTACCGATTCTGGATGGTCTTTTTTATCATCTTAATCGGTGGAAGCTACTTTGCAAAACTAGATCTAGCTGAAACCTATCTCCATGAAGAGGTCGACTATTGATGCCGTGAGTTATTGACAATAAATACATCGAAGTTTAGTTTAGTGTAATCAACTGTTTTTTGGAGTGAAGATGGTATCATTGATATTCCAGCAACTAACTGGCATTACAAGTGTAGTCGTTTATTTAGACGATATACTCTTAGTTACAACATCCTAAGAATTATATGACCGAATCAATCCGATTAAAAATCTATGAAGTACCTCAGGTTTATATTTGTTAGCTTTCGACAACGCTCTGACTCTGAAAATATCCAGACTACCAAGAAAATATCTACCCCATACGATCCGCCGACTCTACGTTCGTTATTACTCCGCATTTTTTCCCTTCCCTACATGAAAAGCGAACACTACTTAATCGTATACTTGGAAAGAATACCAAGTGGGAGCGGAGAGAACAGTGTTAAGTAGCTTTTGAAGAATTGAAAGAACTACTTGGATCTCATCTACTAACTCATCACGATGTCATTAATAGTTGCAGCAAATACATCTGTATCTGATGTGATAGTTTCACACAAATTTCCAATAGAAAAAGCAGTAATGCACGCATCCAGATCACTAACGCTGGTGTTAGATCGAAAGGAAGCATTGACGACTGCTTCTGCTGTACGGCACTTTCCGCAAACCGACTTCACAGATGGGAAACAACACTATTCGACGGTATCGTCGGACAGGTTTCGGTCACGCGGACGCCCTATTGCTCAATAGGTAATTACCCTAATACTTATGAAGATTCTTTTGCTGCTGTGATTTCTACTACAGATTACACAGACGAGTCTCATGGATGCAATGAGAGTCCTTTCCAAAACGGCTTGCCAGGTAGCAGATACTACAAAGAGAGACACAACGCTTCAACGGGGGATTCATTACCTTTAAAATAAATCTCCATCATCTTTAGAAGAATTAAAGCACCCATTCAAGCGATGGTAATCTCTGCGCTCAGTTGGAGAATCCCTTATGTTTGGAGAACGTGTAATGATGTCACCAGATTGATAGGAGAGCATAGTATAGGAACAAGCTCCAAGAAACTACTTTTCTTCATCTTGCTGAACATTCTGAGCAGTCTTCAAAGGTGATCCTACCGATCGTATGTACATGGTACCTGGATTTTCGCGCCTTCTCAGTTCTGATTGACTTGCCCTTAATGTATACCTCTGCCATATCCTCTCCCACCCATTAATTTTAATACTTGCGCCAACTAGTTATAATCCGCCTTCCACTGAGTTTCCCCTATTATCCTTGGTGATGTCTTCTTGTCACAAATAGCACCATTCTGCACTCGTTAATTTTAGCCACCACGACTTTCAAGAACCAAACATTGCTATATTTCACTTAGCTCATAATAGCGAGTTACCCCCCACAGTGCAAAATTCACGAGGTCTATCTCGAGGCTATAAGTAGTGTATTTCAGCTCATTATATATAAATATATATCAATATTTTAAAACCCTTAAAGAATTGTTCTAAATCATTTATTTATTTCAGGTGTTATGGTCGGTAGAGCCTTGTTGAAATTCCCGCATCTTTTTACTCCAAATTATATCGAAGATGAAAACTCACTTCGCTATTTATTTGAAGATTGGTTACTTTTGTCTACACAATATACAGGAGGCACCAGTTTTGTAACTGTTCATCAACAAGCATATTGGATGATGGAACCATTTCTGGGAAAAACAAATAGATTAATTTTGCATAGTATTGGAAGTTTCCAAGGTTTAGTCGACTGGCTTTTTAAATATTTGAAGACAGAAAACAACTGATTTGTATATTTTCTTTGTACAGTAAAGCCTTTCCCACCTTAATTGTCATCCTATTTTCTTACAATTATTCTCAGAGTACATACAGCTGTTTCTAGCTGACAAGTGAGTTTAGGTGAATGATAATCGATCTTACTAAGTGATTAAACTTATTGTGAGAATTTTACTCAATGACCATGGTGGCATACTTTCTTCCCATATAGTTAGTGGATGACAACACGCAACAAAAATCGTATGAGATCATTTATATTACTAAATTACTTACAGGCCATTTGTTACACATATTTAATCATCGCATTCATAATTTCATATTATCAATTCATTTGTACATAAATCAAACTAATGGCGACAGAGAAATCCTCTCAACAACACAGTTGGTATAGAGAAATATAAAGTCGACTAATCCACTATCTCGTAGTTTAGACAATAATCTACAGAAGCTAACAAACTCGAGTCGAAAAATTAATTCACGGCTTGGGACAACTATTAATTTAAATAGAGCAAGAACAAACATTGATGCAGAATAGTATGAATTCATATTATTTCGAGGTTTCTCGTCAGCTGCTTTTTTGACCTCTGACCTGTATTATACTCTTTAAGTAACATCTCCAAACACTAATCTTTCCGATTACTGCTTATACTCTTATTACCTCTACCACTACGGGATTTGAATCGACCACTGCATCTGTGCTAATGTGGTGTGGCAACTCGATCTGATGTACGTACGTACGAAGTTCTACGTTGTTACTGACTGACTGACTGATATATATATATATATATATATATATATATATATATATATATATCAGTCAGTCAGTATATATATATATATATATATATATATATATATATATATCAGTCAGTCAGTAACAACGTAGAACTTCGTACATACGTACATCAGATCGAGTTGCCACACCACATTAGCACAGATGCAGTGGTCGATTCAAATCCCGTAGTGGTAGAGGTAATAAGAGTATAAGCAGTAATCGGAAAGATTAGTGTTTGGAGATGTTACTTAAAGAGTATAATACAGGTCAGAGGTCAAAAAAGCAGCTGACGAGAAACCTCGAAATAATATGAATTCATACTATTCTGCATCAATGTTTGTTCTTGCTCTATTTAAATTCATAAAGGGAACCAATTGCATGAACAACTATTAATTCTTACCACAGTCCAAGCGACAAGTCTTCCTTTATCTGCATCCAATATCGGATGTCAAGCGTGTAAACATTCTTCCAACTACTTCAGTCGACCCATGTTAAAGGAGTCACTATATACTTTGCTCAAAACACCAAGATCAACGTCAAAAATGTTCACTTGTTGATTACACAACGCTAGGATCTTTTTTTATGCTGTTAACTATAAAATAACCCAACGCTGCAATGCGTACCACTTAGCAACAAAATACTGGACATTCTGACAACCGACGATGCTGATGACTCGTTAGCTTCCTAAGTTGATCACATTTAATCTCAGATGTTTGTCAATACTATAACATAGTCAAATCAGAGTTGTTGAATAAAAAAACTGATAGATGCCAAACAAAAAATACATCGGAACACTACTCGTTTATCGTACCTAGCCCCCAAATGCCCTGGTATGGCAGAGAGCGGGGTGGGTTCTCCCTCCTTCTCGAAATACTCTCACACTGCCACGCACATACAGCCTCTGCCAGGGAAGTTCTACTCACTGCCTTCTCGTGGCGAGGGTGTTGTTTACAAAAATCAGAGGACGAAAAGCGAATGTCCGGCGCTTTAACCGGATCCCAAACCAATGGTGCACATGGGCTCCAGTATCCTGTGGGAACAAATGGCGTATGAACCAATTTTTTGGTCACCGGCTACCATGAGACTGCATCTCACGATGCTACACTGCCTTGTGGGTTAGACCTTTTGGTAAAAGGCTCAAGGTGTGGCTCCCTAAGAAATACCTGCTTCGGTTTGGGTACTCGGGCAGTATCTCAGCCCGCACACAAAAACATGATAAACTATCTACTTATGAAAAATATTCCACTCGCTTCAAATAAAAATCAAGTGACTCGCATTATTATTATTATTTACTACGTCATTATTCACCCTCTTTTATTCCCACTCTGTTTATACTTATTTTTTTCGACTAATACAGCAGCTCGTCTATGGTGGAAATTCGACTGTATCTAAACGTTCTCGAGTCACTGTTCGGTTGAAAATTGTATGTTACCACCGAATATGAGTACTGAAGCAGTTTTTCTGAAACCGCGTGCACCATTCAAACTGACTGCCTTCAACGTTCGCACACTTATGCAAGTTGGACAACAGATAGGTCTGGCTATGTCTTTGGAAAGTCTTAATATCGATGTTTGCTGTCTATTCGAGACCCGTATCCAAGACTCTGGTGAAGTACTACAATGTCGATCTCCATCTGTCGCTTCGAAAAGCTTGTTTTACGTGCGTTTATTCGGGGACCCTGTGGCATCTTCGTCTGGTCCTGCTGGCGTTGGTGTCGCACTGAGCGCTAGAGCTGAGGCAGCACTAATCGATTGGATCCCCATTAACAGTCAATTATGTACTGTTAGATTAGAGAGTTCCATCAAAGTGAGAAGCAATCGACGTGAGAAACGATGTCTTTTCGTCATCTCCGCCTATGCTCCGACAGATTGCGGCCCGGATGCAATCAAGGATGACTTTTACCACCAGTTATCTGTACTTCTCCAGAAATTGCGTTCGACAGATATTGTAGTGTAGGGGCTGTGGAGATTATTAAGTTTTTGATCGAGATCATGAACCGATTGATGTTAGACACTATCACCATTGGATGCCGGTTCAGTGGTCCAGCAGGTTAAACGTTCGCGCGCGAGACCGAAGGCCCTAGGTTCGAATCCCACGAGCGGGATCGTGAATGCGCACTACTGAGGAGTCCCAAAATAGGACGAAGCGGCCGTCCAGTGCTTCCAGGTTTCCAAAGGTGGTCTTGTTATAACCCAGTGAAGATTAAGTTATAGGTAACTTCCGAAGACTGTTAATAGACTAATATTCTATAAATATTCTTATTGTGTAATTATTCAACAATTACATTACGTAGATTTATATTTCTCTTATTATAAACTTTATTTTGACCTATAACTTATTATTATACGATTTACGGTTCTTAATCTATGTTCAGTCTATTAATTATTATCTCCCTCGTTCACAGCCACTTTTTGGCTTATTTGTGTACACATGTTATTTTCTAATTTATGGTACGTTGTGGTCTGTCTGGTTGATATATAAACCGAGTATGTTTGAAATAAACGATCTGCTCTGATTCGAAGCTGGTATTGTGTTCTGGACTCAAGTGGAAGGGCTCGGAGGACATAGGACCAATGAGGACGCTAGACTGCCACACCGGTTGAACGTCATTGGTTGGCCTAGTGTGAAGATTCGTATAAGTCGTATTCGGATTGGTAGATAATTCGTGTGATAGAAAAAGGCAGAAATTCAAGGTCATAACAGGTCTAACATCAATCGGTTCATGATCTCAATCAAGATATTGTAGTACTAGCCAAAGAATTGAATGCTCAGGTCAGGCGTCTAGGCACAGAAGAGAGTCGTTTAGGTGGCCGATGGGTTGGTCGCAGGTCAGATAACGGGGACCGTCTACTGCAACTGTGCACAGACCACAACCTGTTTTTGGCTAACACTAACTTTCGGCACAGTCATCGCCGATGTACCACCTGGCGTCCTCCCTCTGCATCCCAAGCCTGGACTCAGATTGATCACATCGCGATCAGCTACCGCTGGCGTGGTTGTGTACAAGACTGTCGCTCCTTTTGGAGTACCTATCTGGACTCTGACCATGTCCTTGTATGCACCAATATTACCTTACTTTTCAGTGGCCAACAAAGTGACCGCCACCAACGGATTGATGTTAGCAAGCTGGTTGCAACTTCTGTTGCAAGTAAGTATCGAACCGAGCTAGCTTCTAGGCTAGCTACCACTCCACCGAAAAGTATAGATGAGCATTGGTTGCAATTGCATGACGCCATGAAAATGGCGGGTACAGTCAGTTGTGGGTTCGCGAAACGTCCGGCTTATAAGCACTGAATTTCTTCTGGCTCCTTACAATTCATTGTAGCCCGTCGGTCTACTCCTGGTGACCGTGAGTTTGACCATAAACGAAGGATGTTACGGAAGGAAATTGAGCAAAGCTTGCGTAAGGACCGAGAAGCCTGGTGGTCGGAGCGTGCTAATGAACTGGAAGCAGCAGCTGCATCTGGTAATTACCGGAAGCTCTTCCAACTCATCCAAGCCACTGGCAGCAAGAAGTCTGGTGTGAGCGAAACAATCTACGGGGATGATGGGATGCCAATCACTAACATCCATCGACGTCTTGGACAATGGGCAGAATTCTTCGAAGGGTAGTTCAACTGGCCTGCTGCTCCGGCAACATCGGTCAGACTGTCCTGCCCTCCATGGCCAGTGACGTCTGGTCCACCGAACGAGGAGGAAGTCGGCAAGGAACTCCAACTCTTGAAGCGCTACAAACCACGTGGCCCAGATGACTTACCTCCGGCTCTTTTTGAAGATGGTGGTGACTTTCTGACTAAGGAATTGACGACGTTGTTTACAAAGGTCTGGGAGATAGAGAGTGTAACAACGTCATGGAATGAGTCAATAGTTGTTCCTATCTTTAAAAAGGGATCACGTCGTTCCTGTAACAACTATCGGGGGATAAGTCTACCTCCGTTTGCGACCAAGCTATTGGCTTCCGTCATACTTCGTAGGTTGTTCAAAACCAGAGAAATATTGACTCGTGAGGAGCAGTCTGGGTTTCGTTCTGGTCGAGTATGTATTGATCATATCTTCACCATCCGCCAAATGTTAGAACACTGTCATACTTATCAAAGGCCAACAATCGTAGTGTTTCTTGACATCAGGGATGCCTTCGATTCGTTGGACAGGACTGTTCTCTGGGATTGTCTATTGAAGAAGGGTGTGGCTGAGAAGTTTATTGACATCCTGAAAGCCCTATATACAAACACCTCAGGCGGATTGAGGGCATACAACAACCTCTCTTCATTATTCTATTCGAGCAGTGGGGTTAGACAGGGTTGCCCAATCTCATCATTCCTCTTCAACTTTGCCATCGATGACATTCTGGAAACAGCTCTGATGAATGTAAGTTATGGTGGTGTGGATCTGTTGCCTGGAGAAAGACTTCTCGACCTTGAGTATGCGGATGATATTGTCTTACTGTGCGATAATACCCAAGGCATGCAATCCGCACTTAATCAGTTGTCAAACAATGTCCGTAAGTACAGTATGTGCTTTGCACCTTCGAAATGCAAAGTACTTCTACAAGACTGGCAGGATTCTAATTCTGTACTCACCCTGGATGGCGAGCAGATAGAAGTAGTCGAGAAGTTCGTGTATCTGGGTAGCTGCATAAGTGCTGGTGAGGGTGTGAATGATGAGATTAATGCACGTATAGTGAAAGCCAGAGCGGCTTATGCCAATTTGGGCCATCTTCGGCGCCTTCGTGATGTTAGTCTGGTTGAAAAAGGTCGGATATACAACGCGTCGGTGAGAGCAGTTTTGCTCTATGCTTGTGAAACCTGGCCTCTCCGAGTTAAGGATGTTAGACGACTTTCTGTTTGATCATCAGTCTCCGAAGGATTGCTTACACCCAGTGGCAACACCATATCAGTAATGCAGAGGTTCTGCATCGTGTGTTCGGGCACAAGGATGATAATGCAATCGATGTCACCATTTTGAAACACCGACTTCGGTGGCTCGGACATGTTCTACGAATGTCGTCCCGGAGAATTCCACGTCGTGCATTAGTTGCCGACGCTGGGACTGGTTGCAAAAAGCGGAGAGGTGGTTAGTATATGACATGGTGTCGTGGTATGGAAGAAAGCTGTAAAGGACTGGCTTCTGTTGGTCCTTCGCGACTCCCTAGCTGGGGTCCGAGAGATGGCGCAACACAGTGGCTAGAGACGTTATCAGATATGGCTCAGAATAGAACCCAGTGGCGATCCTGCTGTAACCTTCTTTTACGTTCTTCATTAAAAAAATGGTTGTATCTTCCTTAACTGAAGGGTTTCTTCTGATTGTATCTTTCCGTTCCCCTATTATTACCACTATTATTATTACACTACATTACACCAATCTCTTCCTTATTGTTCTTTTTTTAACCCCCCTTGCCTTTTTTCTTTCCTCTTTAAAATCTCATTGTTTTGTGTGGCGCATATACATTTGGCGCACTCTTGTACCACTATGTATGTGTTTAAATAAATAATCGTACCTAACCAGCTGCTGTTATATAACGTACAAATCTGACAACACTATTTCCTACAAAATGTACCCTAACAACTACTAATAGGTTCATACAACCATTCGAACGACATCCGTCGCAAATGAATGTATTATTTGATATGTAGTGCGACTTTTGAAAGTCAAATAATTAGACCTAAACGAATTTTATCTCTATAAAACTAAAGCTTCTACGAATTTTTATCTCGTCTAGTTGACAAGTCCACCCGACCGTTGTTGCTACCTTGACGTGGTGATCGGGCTTGCCTATCGTGATGAAGCGATGCTGCCTTCCCACAAGGAGGGGTGGGGTTAGAAAAGGTCGACCATAAAAATGCACACCTCGCCTTATCCCACGGATATCCGTCTCCGGCGGTAAGGTCTCAAAAAGTACGGAGCTAACACAAAAATTACCCATAAAAAGGTCGTGTGTGACCGACCTCAAGCAGTTGTCCCTTGGGCACTGCGGTCACACTCCCAGGTCAATAAGACCACTTCTAATCCGATTTCCTTTTCACGTACCATTCCACGGTGTGGGCAAACGGGAAGTGATAACCGCCCTCATACCTCTAACAGCACTCAAGACCACTGGATTCATAATCAACCTCCCTCTTCAATTCCTATTATTTCTCCTACATCAACTTTCACCTCTAAACTTCTTCTTTCGGCTTCCCCCTCAAGTGTCACCATAGCCAACGATTCTAGTGCTCAAAACACTGTCCCAGGTCTACTGAAACCTCGCTCGCGGTCAGCAGGCTTCCTTGGCTAGAACCCTAGAATCTCGTGCCATTGATGTATGCTGTGTCTCCGAAACACGCATACAGGATCCCAGTGTGGTCATTCACTTGACCTCACCTCGGCAAAGCGGAGAGCCAACGAGATACACCCTCCGTGTATCTGGTGACCCGATGGCCAGCTCTCGTGGACTGGCAGGAGTAGGAATAGCACTAAGCATGAGGGCTGAACAAGCACTGTTATAGTGGATCCCCGTCAACAGTCGTCTATGTGCCGTCCGGCTAAACGGCTCTGTAAGAACTCGGAAGGATAGGGACACACGTCGTTGCCTTTTTGTCGTTTTTGCCTACGCTCCCACTCACTGCAGCTCGGATGAAGTGAAAGATGAATTTTACAGAAAGCTAAACGTTCAGACATAGTACTCGTAGCAGGTGACTTTAATGCCCAGATAGGTAGTCTAAACCAAACAGAAAGGCATTTAGGTGGGTATTTTAGTATACCGGCACAACGAACAGATAATGGTGATCGTCTGCTGCAACTATGCTCAGACAATCGTTTATTTTTAGCAAACACAAATCTTAAGCATAAGGAAAAACATCGTCTAACATGGCGACCCCCTACACCAAACCAACGATGGACTCAAATAAACCATATTGCCATCAGTCATCGTTGGAGAGGGTCGGTAGAAGATTGTCGCTCGTTCTGGAGTACCTGCTTGGACTCCGACCACGCCCTAATACGGGCACGCATCTGCTTGCGCCTCACTGGACGCAAAAAAGCCACATTAAAAAGACCCATTAGAACTGAGTTGAGTAACGAGAAAACCAAAAGTAGGTTCCAGGAACAACTGAGGTCACACTTAGGTAGTTCTGAAAACGAGGCTGACCCAGATGTTGCTTGAAAAGATATACAAACAGCTGTGGAAACAGCAATGGCACCTATTAGTGACTTTAAAAAAAGTTACGAAGAACCAATGGATTTCCTCAAGGTCTATTGCACTGATAGATTCTCGTAAACTCATCCCATCAGGCTCTGAACACGATGAAAAGTGAAAACAAATCAGACCTAGGTTAACCAAAAGTCTAAAAAACGACCGTGAGCAGTGGTGGGCAACGAAAGCAAGAGATGGAAAAGGCGGCGACTATAGGGAACACAAGACAGCTCTACAGACTAATAAAAGAAACTGGAACTAATAAGTCAAGTGTGAGATTATTTCGGAAAAAGACGACACCCTCATCTGCTCTCAGTCCAGACGTTTAGAACGATGGGCGGAACATTTCAGAGAACAGTTCAGCTACTCTACAACTACCTGTTGTGAATCTAAGTTGGGTCGATTTTTACCATG